TCATGACCCATATGTAATACTTACATTTGTTACAGTGATACATAGAGGGAGAAGGGTCATCTACGCGGGCTAGAGATAGAGGAAAAAGACCCCAGGTGGAGGAGGAACCAGGAGATTTGGGGGCTAGGCAACTGCGGGAAGCAACTGTTAAGTACTTTGAGCAATATACGACGCGAGTGGAAATAGTAAAGCCCAGGGGTACATTATACGAACAGTTTAAAAAGCTTGATCCACCAATATGTACGGGAACTGCAGGTCCATTAGAAGCAGAAAATTGGTTACGACGCATCGAGAAAATATTCAGGGTAATGGGAATTGGTGAGGAGGATAAATTGTTATTAGTTACTTTTATGTTAGCAGAGGAGACCCATTATTGGTGGGAGGCTATGGAGAAAGCATTGCTGCCAATGTGCACTGAAGGGGAGGCCAGTTCAGTTCCTACAATTCCTACATGGCGGCAGTTTACAGATGCTTTTGACCAGAAGTATTTTCCCTCGAGTTATCGATACCAAAAACAAAATGAATTTTTACATCTACAGCAAGGGAATCAGTCAGTGTTGGAGTATGAGAGTAAATTTAGTACTTTGTCTAGATTTATGCCTTCTATTGTCGTAGATAAGGGGGAAAGATGCAAAAGATTCCAGATGGGGCTAAATTACAATATTAGATCTCGTATTTCGATGTTGGAGTTGACCACATTTTCAGAATTATACAACAAAGCCATGATTGTGGAAGCTGATTTGAAAGAAATAGAAAGTGCAAGTGAACAGACAAAATTAGGAAGATATGAGCCAACTAGACAAAGTTCCAAGGGAAGTTTCCTTAGCAGGGCCCGGAGAGGAATGTTTCCGAAGGGTGCAAGTAAGAAGAAGTCAGGAGTCCCATTCCAAAGTCGAGGACAGGAAGTGAGTGGATCATTTTCCTTTGCATCGGGTCGAGAGATGGGATAGTCTCGAGGGAGTACAGTTACCTATTACCGTTGCGGGTAGGTTGGGCACATTGTACGGAACTGTCCTATGGGAGGATCAGGAGTTGCTATGTCACGGCGTTGCTTTCTATGTGGTCAGGAAGGACACATACAGAGAAATTGTCCACAATATTCTACCCAGAGTTCATCGATAGGCAGTGCACCTACGGTGTCTTGAGGAGCAGCAAGTGGCAAGAGTCGAGGACGAGGAGGCAATACTGGAGGTGGTGGTGCTGGTGGTAGTGGACCGAGCGGAGCTGAGGTTGGTGAACGTGTCTTTGTGATGACCCAGCGGGATGCTCAGGTGACCCTGGGAGTGGTTATAGGTATGATGTCTATTTTTGGTCAGTAGGCACGAGTACTGATTGATTCAGGTGCCACACGGTCATTTATATCACTGTCATTCTCCATGCATATTAATAGA